TTTCTATTATTAGTAGTATTACTATTAATTAATATTATTATACTCTTTTTCTTTTTATAAAAGTAGTTTTAATTTTCCAATAACCCAATTTTTCCCTTTTCTCCTTCCTTTCCCCTTCTGGGGAAAGAAGGAGCTAATAGAGAGCATCTGTCATCTGCTTTAATTGCCAGCCCAGCCTTAAACGGTGACAATACCATCTAATAAATAAAGCAAAATGTTATTTAAGGTTCAGAACATAACAGTTAGGCAGAAGGAAATGTAGCCTGAATGCAGTTATCAGTACCTTCCCAACTATGCCTACTTTTGAGGTCCCTGAGGCTCCATGTTGTAGTTTGTTAAGCTGTGCATGGAATGCTCCATGCTACCTGGAATCTGTGCGACACACTGAAATGTGTTGCCTTTCTCACAATAGACATGTATATGGGTATTTCTGGCAGCTGTGAACAGAGAACGTCAGGGCAGCATCGTTGACATGTTGGACTTCTACGCCCTGTTGTGCTCCTATAGGTTTTGGTACAACTTACACTTGATAGAGTTCGGACATTTAGATCATTAGTATCCTGATCTTTCTTGTGGCCTTGTTATTTTCACAAAGTATGGTATGCCAGTTTGAAACACTTAATCTGAACGTTTGATAATGAACATGTGATGAATATCACCAATACAGTTTTGTGCAGTATCTCAAACAGAAAATGACTGATGATCCAGTTGTTATTTCCTACCTTGAGAAAAGGAGTGGTTTTCTACCTACAAGGTCACCCCCTACCTTTTTGCCATATCTGTATGCAAGTAGTCTTTCATACTAAATGCTTAGGCTTCATTTAGTATGTTTAATATTTGTATTTATTATTTAATTGGATCAGATTATTTTTGCTTTTCTCAAATGTGGTAACATTGCAGTAGGTCATGTTATAACTATGCCTTTTTCTACAGTTACATGGTATATTTGTTAAACATTATAGATGTATAATGCTGGTGTTGTGTGAGTATGAAATTATAAGGGCAGTTAGAGTGGACTGTATTAGTACAGTGTAGGGCTACCACAGCCTTTATAAGTTTCTCTCTTTTTCTTGGAACATGCATTTGACAGAATAATATGGGCCTTTTTGGGTATGTAGTTGTTTAAGATTCGTGGCCACTATTGCACAGCTGAGGGTTGTGCAGGCCACATCAGACTGTGCTCTAATTCTCTTCCTTCTCCTACAGGTAATATTTGCAGAATTGTTTCAACTTCCATCTCCACCACACATTGAAGTTATGTACACAACGCTCCTGATTGAACTGTGCAAACTTCAGCCTGGCTCTTTACCACAAGTTGTATCCTTTCTGGGCTGCTGGAGAGCATTTACAAAACGCAGTCTTGTTGTTACTGTTCTGTAGATGATGGGATAGCAGGAAATACTAGCAGTATTAATATTTTACAGCAGCTGCACGAAACTTTGCCTGTAACACTCAGATGAAAGAATAGTACAGCCCACTTAGCACAGGTCTAGATTTGCCAAGTGGGTGAGACTCTTCAGCTTTCTGGACAATGTTCTAGTACTTCCTCTGACCTTCCCAAGAAGTGCTGTCTTGGTGAAGGGATAAAATACAATACTCCTGTTTGTCACTGCAGCCTGTTTAGGTCTGGACAATGTGTGGCATGGTCACAGACACATTAAAGGCTGAGAAGGAAAGGAAGTGACAGACTTGATCTTTTGTTCTAATAACTGTGTGAGTGCACCTACTCTTTTTTTTAGTAGGAAGTGTAGCAGATGATTTAAAGGAACTTGCCTGAGTTCCCACTCAGTGCTCCTACTAGGAGCATTCAAAAGGTCGGTAATCATCTATTAGCTCAGACAGGGTGGCTGAATGCTCAGGAAGGAGGCATGACTCCCAGCTAATTCTAGCTATTACGTAGCCCCTGCTTTGCTTCCATTTTAGATAATGTTAGATCAAGCTACAGACTGAGAATGGATGATGGTTAACAGATGTCTATCCACTGGTAATTCCATACCCAAATTTTCATTCTACTTTGGTACCACTCACTCTTTGCAAATTGCATAATCTCAATGATTAGAGCCAAGACTATTTCTAGAATTGAGTGGACGTCCGTGCAGAAAGTTTTTAATGTTAATAGGGACACCTTAAGAAGGATAAAGGCCTCGTGAGTAAAGTCAGTGTAGATGTACTTTGTCAAGCCTTCAGTGTTTATCAAAGATTGTCGATAAGAATCAGGAGCAGCCTGTGAAGCTGGACTGGTGAGATTACAGAAGTACTCCATAAGGAGGTTGGTGTCTGTTCCTATCAGTGCAGTTTTGCTTGTCACATAATGCAAAATCTGGCCACCTATGGAAGAAGGCGGCAGTCTTGTTGTAATAATGGAAGAAAACCAGACTGGAATTAGAGAGTAGAACTCACAATATGCTTCATTTTTCCCACTGTGGATTTACTGTGATTTACCTGATTTTGGAGTAGACCCAGGAAGCTTTCAGTACGAAAAGTTTATGACATTCTATTAAAAACCTGAAAGGAGTAATATCTGATTTATCTAGTGCTTTTCTGTATACCTTAATAAGAAACTTTCAGCTTGCACAAGCCACAGAAATGCTCTACATGCGTTTGGATACAATGAATACAACATGTGTGGACAGGTAAATGTGTTTTGGAGACAATGGAAAATATTCCTCAATATCCAATGTACAGGAAAAATGAAAAGGCTGTGGAAAGAGTAGTCAGAAATCTTTGTTGGAACTTCTTGGTGCTATTCAAAATGTTTTATGGGTTCTAGCTTTGAGGAATCTAAAGAGAAGGTGGAGGACTGACTGCTTGTCTCTCCTTCCCGGAAACACTCCCTCAGATGTCACAAGTCTAGCTCTCTGTACAGGACAGTTAAGATTGGTGACAACTTTTCCGTGTTCAGAGCTGTTCGTAGTTGCATAGTAGTCTGTTACCTAGTATTACGCCTGCTCCCTAGTGGTCTAGGGGGTGATTTGGAACTGCAGTTAATGGAGTAGTGGTGAGGAGGAGAGTGGTGGGGATTTTGCCCTTTGACTAAAGTCTGCATTGTGTAGGAGAGCTGTTAATTACTCATAAAAAATGTGAAAGTTGCATATTCACAGTAAGTTTACACTTTAATTGTTAGTTTAATAGGTCATCTCTTTGTGTGAAACAACAGAACATGACAGCCTGTCTATTTGTCCATAAAAGCTGCTTTCTGACTCTCTGAATTCAGTCTTTTGTGTCTGTCAACATAAATGTCTGTTTAATTCTGTAATAGCTTTAGGGTTTAAGCTTGCCTTGGAAAAGTAGAATGCACTTGTAAGAAAATCTCAACTGAAAGTTTTCCTACAGTTCTGACATTTAATGGAGCTTTCTTTTTCTTTTAATGAAGATTTATTAACTGGTTTTCTCACCACTTGAGCAACTTCCAGTTCCGTTGGAGCTGGGAAGATTGGTAAGTTTCTCTCATTTTGGTTTGAATCTGATACTGCAAAAACCTTAAAATGTCAAACTTATCCAGGAAGTGTCACAGCATAGTGGCTCTGTTAATTGATTTCCTCCACCTCTTCAGATGTCTTTCTGCATCTGGTCACCACCACTTAATGGTAGATTATTTTGATAATCTCTTTAGTGACTGTATTGACCCTAGTGAACTTTGTCATAAATCTCAAGCCACTGTAAGTGTTCCCTAAACAGGGGAAGTAAAAATGTCATTTCTTTAATCTGTCCTGCACCCTCAGTCAGTTGCTAGCAAATTTTCTAAAATGGCTCCCCAATTTACTTTTAATAGTTTGCCCTTATTCTTTGTATCCTCTGTTCATTCTGTAATCTTGCTCTCTGTCCTACCCTAAACCTTTCATTATAACCTGACACCTTGTGATCATCTGTTTCCCGCCTGCTGAATCCTAACACCTGAAGTTCCATCAGAGCTGCTGGCCTTGCCATCCATTCTTACCATGCCAAATCTTGAACTCACATCTCTGTCAGTAGCTCCCTGAACTCCATCAATGTCTAACCACAGGTTCACCTGAGCTTTTCATTCCAGGCAACCATGTAGCAAGAGAGATCACCTTGGGGTTAAGTCTTCCCTAGAGTAACTTGCACAGGCTGCTACTGTATATGCTGTCTATAGCTGATGTGCCCAACTGTCCCTGTGGAGAGGGGTGCAGCCCTTCTTGTTGTATGTTTTTGTGGCTTTACCTAAGTTTCTTGTGTTGTCCTCATGTGGAGTTAAGTGCTTGCTGGCTATCCTAGTATACATCTGTGTTGACTGACCAGGCAGCAGTCTTCAAAGAGCTGATTTTTCTTTACCTGCATGTTCCTTGATGGCAATGCTTCTGTGGGTGTCTCTCACAAGCTGCCATTTTTCACAAATCTCACAAGTGACTGTATTTGAGACTTTTCTTTATCTGAAATGCATATGAAATCAGCCAGAAGTTCAGAAATTCTGGTGAGGGAGGAACAGACAATGAAATTACACAAGGTTCCTTTCCTAAGGAAAGGGAAAGCCAGCTAACGGTAAGCACAAATTATTTTTAATCTGGTGGGAGAAGGGAAACTACTTGAAAATATATTACACAGAGATGAGATTCCAAGAATGTTCATGGGCAATAAGGAAATAGTGGTGAACTTAGTCATTGTCTTAAAATTGCCTACACTGTAAAACTAAGTGTCAAGCACTCCAGTTTTCCTTAGATCATGATTGTGTTGTACCTGTTAGACCAAGCCAAAAAGAGACTAAAGCACAAATTCTTTTGCTAAAAGCTACCACATTCTGTCCTTTCATAGGTCAGATTGTCTTACTCAGGACCTTGAAAAACCCAAACCCAAATTTGTGAGAGAGGTTTTGGAAAAGTGCATGCGGTAAGTAAGATCTTTTGACAGTTGCATTCAAGGCAAAGTTTGATCTTTGCTTCTGGATACTGTTAGATTCCTTTTAACTTAACTTTTGTCTTAGGCATATCTGTTCTTACAATTCAGTTTCAGTAAAGAGAGGAGTTTGTTGTTTGTATTATTTTAATCTGGTTTGCCTGCTGTAGGACACTTAGGGCACTACTTTAGGAAGAAACAAATGGAGCAGATGATAGTGAGCTATACCTGTAGTTAGAAAAAGACATGCTTCGCCATAGGCATGGAAAGAAATAGAGTTTAGGCAATATTCCTGCAAAGTATTCAGCATTTGCAGAAATGGAGGGAACTGATCATTAGTTATACTGAAAGCTGAGAAGCTAAGCTTGATTCTTCTAGGTGCCTCTGATGTTCATTGACCTTAAACAAACAAAAACCCCAAACCTAACAAGAGTACACAATCAGGGGTGGACTTAGAATTGTTGAGATAGAGGGATATAGGAGAGAGAAGGAGCAAGATGTTCAAAAAGCCTCTGTTATTCGGCATTCTACTTGAAAACATTCATCTGGTTTTGAGTGAATTCAGTATAGGAAGTGTGAAAGTATTCTGCTGCAAAATAAATGCAATTTTTCTGTGGCACTCTTCCATTTCACTGAAAACTCTGGTAGCAAAATTAAACCTTTGCTGGGAGTGAAGTAAGCTGGAAAGTAAAATGAAGACATCCAGTTTAATATTTTTTTCTGCTATGAATACCAGCATCTTACTAGTTTTCTGCGGTGCATCTTAGGCTTTTGTATAAAACATCCTACGAGGCAGCCTCTAAATCTTTTCACAAGCTGAATTAATTGTATGAGGATGAAACTCTAGCATCACAGAGTTCAAATAGAAAGCATCTGCTAGTAGGTTTGGTTTACTTAGCTCTTACTACCCAGCAGAAAATACCATTCTGTTGTATAAACATCCTGATTTTCGTTCTATGAAAGTTAAATACAGGAAAACCGTTACAAAGCAGTCACTTTAGAATTAGTGCTGGTGTTATTCCTGTTTTAATTCTACTGCTGTGAAACTTGCGTTTCCAGACTCTCCTACCATCAGCGAATAATAGACATTGTTCCTGCAAGTTTTTCTGTCCTCAGTCCTGCTAATCCAGTGTGCATTTACAAATATGGAGATGAAAGTAATAGTAAGTATTAAAATTACTGAGGGGGTAATTTGAAGAAAATAGTGTTTTGGAGCAAAGGAGCACACTAGATTGAGTGTAGTATCAGTTGTCTTCATAAAGAATACAGCTGAAATAAATATGCATGATTTTCATATGGGTAAATATGCTTCACATGAGCAATTAATATATAATAAGTAAGCCTGGATCTCTGTAATATAATCCTCTTTGTTACTTTATGAAGAAAAGAAAATCCAGGTACATGAAGTTAGTCTTGCTGAGGTGGTTGTGGTGCTGCACAGCATTGTTTACCAGAAGTCTAAAATTGGAAAATTCATTTATTTCCCCCATTTGGGCACAATACTATGCAGAAGTCAGCATATGAAGTGATATTGTGAGTTTATTTTTTGAACTTCATGAAGCAGTAGAAGATTTTGCCAGTAAACTTGATTTAATGAAGCATACCGAAGCAGCAGATGATGTAAAGATTGAGGTAGAGAGATACCTTATTATGCCTTTTATTACTCAGTGCAAAGACAATCCTAAGCATATAAGTGTCATCATCAAAGATACAGTGAGGAAAAACAAGGAACTATTATGTCCTTAGAAAATTAGTGGAAGCTGATGTAGAGCTTTGGACAGGAGAGTTATTATCTGACCTCAGCTCTAAAGCTTCTACTGAAAGTTTTGAATTTAATGTGAAGACCAGGAAACGTGTTGAGGAGTTTTACGGAATAGTGATATGGACAATGATGCTGGAAACGGCTAGTTTTAGATGTAGCTGGGAAGTGTAGTTGTTTCTCTCGGAGGCAAACTGATGTTAAAAATACTCACTTGCCTTCTACATATTTGTTTACCTCTTCGCTTTTGTTTAGGGTCTCTTCCTGGATATACTGTGGCACTCTGTTTAACAATCGCAATTAAAAATAAGGCCAGCAATGATGAAATCTTCAGCATTTTAAAAGACGTGCCTAATCCAAACCAGGATGATGATGATGGTAAGATATATGCTGTTAGTCTTTGGCAGGCTGTAATTTCTTTTGTGTGTAGATTGATCTGCCATCCTTTGGAGCTCTAACTGTGTGCTTTTCCTTCTAATAGTTGGTTTCAATTTATCAGTAAAATAAATTTTCCTGATAAATTGAAAAAATACATGTTTTCTTGTGATTATTATTATTATATAGCATGAAAGAATTTAACATTTCCTTTGCCTTAAGCAGCAGAGGGAAGTTCATGCTCATATCCTCATCCCTGAGATTCAGTGCTTGTGCCCTGTCTGAAAGGTAGGATAGTCAGCCTCCTGGCTGCAGTCTTCCATAGATACAAACTCATGATGGGACTCCACTCATGCTCTTTTTAGCTTTGCAGCCACAGATGACATTGATTCCTAAAGCCTGTGTGTTTTAGGGAGTGAGAAGGGGTGTGAGACAGAGAATTAAGAACTGATCTTTACAATGGGAATGGCTTCAGTATTTCTGTAGTATTTGCAATATTGTTCCGTTATGCAAGCAGAGAGCAGCAACAATCTGGGTTTTTTTTCCCCCTGGGATCCACTCTTATGTTTCCTGATGTGCTTTAGACATCACCCACTAATGAGTGCTCTCACTCCTGCCTGTCTTCAGCTGCAGGTAGCTGCAGCCTCAGGAGGGAACTTGGCACCATTCACCTCTAGTACCCATATTTGCTGTGCATCCCTGCTGGACCCTTCTGCCATGTCATATAAATAGCCGACCTCTGTATCTTAATCATCCTTACCTTCCCCTCCTCATCAACTCTCCCTTCTTTATGGTCTGCCAGGCCTTCAGCTTCATGCATAACTGCATTTTCCTTTGCCGTCTGTCTTTGCAGCTGTCCATCAGTGCTGTTACATGTTGGTAGGGTGGCTGTGTCTCTGATAGCGTCTTCACTGATCTAGAATTCTTGCTGCACACTTTCTCCATGTCAAAATGGGAACCTGAAGATCTGCACATTTTGGAAAGTCTTTCCTAGCTCCCTGCTCAACCTTGCAAAACCATGTTGATGAAACTCTTTTTCTTTTTTTGTTTTTTTTTTTTTTTCTGTGTGTGTGTGAAATGAGTTAAAACCATAAGTTATCTCTGTAGTTTTATGAGTAGCTTACATGCTTTGCTTGAAGTACTTACAGTTTCAATTTTAAATAACTTGCAGATGAAGGATTTACCTTCAACCCTCTGAAAATAGAAGTCTTTGTTCAGACTCTGCTCCATCTAGCTGCAAAGTCTTTCAGCCACTCCTTCAGTGCCCTGGCAAAGTAAGTGTAATATGTGCATTATTTCTGTTTAATTCTGCCAGTGAAATGCAGGATAAAAGAACTAGACTACAAGTTTCAGCAATGTTTTAGGTTCTACACATTGCAATATGAATAGGAGAACTAATGACACTGCTTACTGAAGGAATGCTAGTGTAAATCCTAGGTTACATATGTGGATGAAATTAACAGAAATGTGTACATTACAGCCAGGTGATGTAAATCAAACAAATGAGACAGATTTGGAACATTACTGCATTTTAGAATTACTCATTTGATTATGGTGAGGAACAAGGGTTTCTTCTTATATTTGAATGACTGGGTAGCTCCCACCACAGTATCTTGTACTGTGAATATGACTGTAGAACAGTTATTTCTGTATAAAAAATGAAGAAAGAAAAAGAAACATGAAACTTCAAAGCAGTCTGCTGTAAACTTCTATCTACCAAAGCACAGTAAAATCCATTGTAAAATACTTCAGAATACATCCCTTAAAGATATGCTTTAACTTGTAAAGAATTTACTGCACACTTTTTAGCAAAATGAGATAAAATAACTAGTTTTTAAACCGGTGTGTTTTGGAGTAGCTCTTAAGTGGTCTTGATACATGAAAAGTAGTCACATACATCTTAATGAGTTATTTTTCTGTCTGCTTTTAAAGATACTTGAAGCTGTTACAGAAACATGCACCTGGGAGCTTTACAGAGGCAGTGTGGATAAGAAGTTGTAGGTAGTAGCCTGCAATCAGTAGTACAAGAGGCAGGGTGATACAAATACTTAGAGCCATGATATTTTCACTGCTGCACACCAACAGTGGCAGCCATGAGATCAAAAAGAGCCTCTTACGCTTTATAATTATATTACAGTAAGCTGGGTTGTGGATGCTGCGTAGCCATTGGCATAACTCTGCTAAAATAGAGGCTTTTAGCAGCGTTTCCTTTAAAAAGAGTTGAATTGGATAAGTGTCTGAAGTTATGGAAATGCATATCAGGAGGAACGTCTAAGGCTCAAAAGGCAGCAAGTTTTGCTCCAGCTGTATATAGATCAGCACACAAAGCATGAAAGTGCCTTCCACTTTTAGGAGTATGAGAAATGCAGCCCAGCTTCAGGGAGTAGGTTCAGCACTAAGATTTAAGCTGCTTTTAGGAGCTGTCATATCTTTGTAGCCTATTTTAGCTCAGAATGGTTATATTTTCCAGGGAATAGTTGTTCAAGAATTGCTGCAGATAGTCACAAAATTTTCTTTCGGACAGTCTAAACCACTTGCCTTGTATCTGCTGCTCTTTTGACCTGATCTCAACCCTTGCACTGACTTTTCACATCTTTTAAAAGGTTTCATGAAGTCTTCAAAACACTTGCTGAAAGTGATGAGGGGAAACTGCATGTTCTGAGGGTTGTATATGAGGTTTGGAAGAATCATCCACAGGTAGGAGGTTGCAGTGTCAAATATCTTTGTGAGTTTCAACTCACAGAGGTCATATTTAATAAATAACATTACAGTTTGCTTCATATCCTTTAAAAATAACTTGTCTGTTGTCATCTTATTTGAAGGAAAGTTCAAATTGTATTTAGTGTTGTTACTAGTGCCTAAAATGAAGGCTGGACATGAAATACATACCACAACTGAGGCCAGTTCCTCCTCAGAGTTCACTGTGGGAGGGCAAAGGCTGTCATTCTGACTCAGATTCACACTATACTGTTTGTTATACAAGAGAAGAACTTTTGCTAAAATCATGTTTCTGTTCAAAACTGGAAAACAGTGTAGATGTGTAAATTGAAATAAGATATAGTTCTCTTATCAGAAGCAGACCACACTTGGAAAACTGGGGTTTTTAAGGGGTTTTTTTCTTTTCTTTTTTCAATTGCTAGTGAAAGCCATACAATGATTCTGCAAAGCTCCTGTTGGAGTCACTATTGTGTGTGGGCAGAGTGAGTAGAGCTGCAGTCAGTGGCTCTTCAGAACAGATCAGTCTGACAGTGCCATCGTTATGTTCATTCTTGAGCCAGAGGAAGTAACACCCTAAAAGACTTATGAAAAATGCCTCAGTTGTTTAAGCTGTTCAGTTTCTTCACAGCAGTTGTTTTCCCCCTCAAATGTCATTCTTCTATAAATAGAAATTGATAAGGAACTCAAGTTGAATTTGCCTACGTTAATTATTTCACATATTGCTTACTGGTGTGTTTGTGTTGCACTTTATTGTGCTTGAAAGTGGACTGTACCTCACAAGTGCATAGGCCAGACTTTCAGAAGTGGTGCCACTGAGAACAAGGGGTAATCCTTGCGTCTGCTACTGGACCAGTGGTCCATTCCAGTCCCCATTTCCATAGGGGAAATACTGAGCACGTAGAAGATATCTATGCAAGATGTCACCTTTCTTCTAACTACAGTAAAAACATCAAAAAAGCAGGATTTTTTTTTTTTAGTATATTAAACTTCCTACTCAATTTACTGACCTTGAAAATGCGACGATTACAGTCTGACCTACTTTTTAGTGCCATTTAACTGGATCAGAACAAATTACATTACTGCAATCTAATATCCATATCCTCTTCCTCTTCGTTCCTTTGTATTGCAGCATGATGAAACAGAGATGGAGGTTTCAAACCCAGACTAAACAATCATGTTAGATTTTTTTGAATAAATCAAGATTGCTTTAAAAATATCAAATGCAAAAGTTATGAAGGTCTGCTTTTCTTCCTGATCACAGAACTTAAATTTTCTTGTCTTGCATTTATTGCAGTTCAGTCTTTTGCTTCTGGTCAAGCACTTTTTTTCCGGAGTCCACAGCCTCCCTGGCACGTAGAGGAAGTGGTGCCTGGACAGCAGGATGCTTGTCCAGAGTCTATTTTCGTGCCACTCACCCTACTCCCATCTCTATGGGAACGTCCTTTGATTTGGTTCAAACTATCAACAGTATTTCCAAGGCATATAGTGCTACTGAGTAATCTATGCTGCAGATAGTGATTTAGCAATAGGAGTCAGTAGTTCCTGGACCTGTAAGCAAGGTTGTGGTGGTGACTTCATAAAGAGAAACTTTAACATGGAGATGAAATATTTTCTCAAAATCCTAGGTCTGTGTTGCTTGGAAGATCAGGCTATGTAATCAGAAATTCTTCCTCGCAATACAGAAAGAAAAATAGAGCGCTGGATGCTGTCCTGGGACTTGAAAAGTTGAATGCTGAGTCTTCTGTATGATTCATTCAGTTATTTGAATTTTCCTTCCTTAAAAGGAGCTTTGTTACACTTCCTTATTTGACAATGGGTAGTTGTAAGGATAAATACAGTGCAGGCTGTGGTTCCTAGATACCGTGGCATTCAATCACATGAGTAACTAAGTTAAGCCTTTTTTCTGAACAGCTTGCAACTGCTTTAGTCAGTAACTCCTCTCTGCAGTTGCCTGCTAGATTGCTTGCAACCCCCTGCAGAATCATGGCAGTGCCTGTAGCAAGTAAGCACTTCTGTTGACTACATAGTGCTGGCTTTGTCCTGAAATGAGTGGGTCCTGTAGAGGAGAGCTTACTGTCATGTTTGAAAACTTGCGGTTCAAGGAGAGTAGACTTACAGTAGCTCCTTCGTTATGATGATCTGACAGGTATATATGCTCTGGTTTGAGTACTTCGATGTCAAATAGTAGGACTTGTGTCTCTTAAGGCCTCACTTCCAACTATGATGCCTGTATTTATTGCTGTTGTATGTAAGTATGTACGTTAAGAGCGATACATCACTTTAACAAGAAATAGAAAAGGAGGTTAAACAAAATCAGAATGCTTTATGTAATTGACGTGGATCCCCTAATTTGAGCAGTTTTAGGCTAGACTACCTGGCTTCCTAAAGTATTTGAAATTATCCAGTAATACCAGTAATGTAGAGTTGCATCAAACGATCTCTGGTTTTATCTGAGGCTGGAATACTTTACACAGATTGTGTGTGCAATGTCTTTCACAAAATACAGATGATTGCAGTGCTTGTGGACAAGATGATTCGGACACAAATTGTTGACTGTGCTGCAGTAGCAAACTGGATCTTCTCTTCAGAGCTTGCACATGATTTTACTAGGTAACAAGAATTTGTCTTGGGTTGTTATTTGTCTCTGAATTACTCTTTTAAGTGGCCAGTACATAGTTTATTCTATGAAAACTGAGTAGTGGAAGAAAAAGGTACGATTAAGCTTTTGCTCCTTCTACAAAATACGTGTTTTAGCTTTTTTCTTTCTGAGTTGGGGTATGAATGTTTACATGACAGTGCAAGAATGTTGCTAGCATGTAATTTTGCAAGTAGTCTTGGTCTTTGATTGAGGTATGTAACTTGTACCACCACTGATACATTGCTTATTGAGAATGGGAGAAGTGTTAGGTTTGTGAAGTCAACTTGATGTTGGTAGTCTTGCAGTATGTGTATGGAATACAATGCTGGATTGGAAGTGTACTGCAAAAAATAGGAAAGGAATGATTGTTGAGCTTTCTCACATTACAGGTATGATTTCCTATATGCTGAGTGTTTGTTCACTTCTAATAGATATCTTAGATGATACTAAGTTTTTTTAAATTCCCCTAGATAAATTTTTCTGTAAGAAACTACATTTAGTTTTTTTATCTTGGAGTAGTGTGTAATGTAGTGTGTTGAGCTTTGTCTCTTTCCTAGGTTTTATATCTGGGAGATCTTACATTCCACAATTCGTAAGATGAATAAGCATGTTCTGAAGATTCACAAAGAACTGGAGGAGACTAAGGCAAGATTGGCCAGGCAGCACAAAAGAGTGAGTAATTTGTTTGTAATTTTAAATTATTTTAAGCTAAGTTATACAGACCTGCACACTGTCAGACTGATGTGCTGTTGGTTTTGTGAAGGGCTGAACAAATATATTTATCAGGAAGCATGTGTGCAAACGTGGTCATCTGTAGCACTAAGACATCAAAAACTGGATACATGTTCTCAATCCACCTTTCTAATGGTAGCTATAACCTAAGAATTCAGTAAAATCTTTAAGGGAATTCACATGTATTTGCTCTGTTCAAGCTCTTTCCCAAATTTCTCTTCCAACACGGTCATGTCTTCCACTTGCCTAGTAACCTGGATTCCAGTTACCTTATTAGATAACAGTAAGAACAGTTACAAATTATTTATAGTAAGTTCTGTTAAAGAATACTCTTGTGGCTTCCATGCAGAAGTGCACGGAAACAGCTATTTGCTATTGAAAACTTGGCTGTTACTGTTCTTCTGATGGATGCTGCTGGATTCTGACACTGGCATCTGTCACTTCCTTCTTCCAGCTTATTTTTCTGAATAACGTTGCATGATCTGGGTTACTATATACAACAGATGAGCTAGCAGCCACCGTTGTGTTCTGTTGTCTCAAGTGGGACAGTAAAATGGGATGAGAGAGTGTCTTCTGTGGCAGCTGCAAAAGATGGGGCCCAAGGAAGCTTGACTGAATGCACTACTTGGTTGTGATATAATAAACTCAGTTTATAAACATGTTGAGAGTTGCAGAGAGCAAGAGAGAATGTCCATATTTGTATGTAGTCTGTCAGTGTGATTACCTGCATAAACCCCTTAGCTGGCTCCAAAACCTTGCATGGAGTTAAGGTCAGAATTTGGCAGATGGCAGAGTCTGCTGATGGTTTTTGAAGAAACCTGCACAAGTCAGTCATTTTTCCAGAAGTTTCTGTTGACAGATCGCTAATACCTCACAGTTTGCCTGTGTTGGTTCATCCCAGCCCCTTCATCTTGTTGCTTTCACATTCAGCAGCAGCCATCCTAGTTGCTTGCATCCTCAGTCTGCATTGGTCAGCAGTGAATAAATGCCCATGATTATTGAAGACCTAGATGCAGTCATTGATCCTACTGTGAAGCAAAGAGCTTCTCTGGCATCTCTAAACAAGTATATCAGTGTTTTCATTTCTGTACTTGTCTCTTGCTGCAGCTCTTTATTACTGAGTACTTCAAATGAGTACTTTGCCAGGAAGAAACATTTGTATGCAACAGTGAGTAGTTCTGCAGGCTGTTGCTTGCTGCATGACAGTTCCTTTTAGAGGAAGTACGCTGTCAGATTTTGATTCCCCAGCATGAAGTGGACTGCCTTACTGTGGAATGAGTCCAAGGCTTATGTGCTTTCTCTTAGGTCCTATTGGTCCTTTAGCATTTTGAGTTCAGGAAACCTCTGTAGATGGGGAAAAAGCAAGTTCCTATAGAGAGAATAAAATTAAATTCTCAATTGGTCTGGTAGGTAATTTTTATTTTTTATGCTGATTCAGAGCTGTAACTATCTTCTGATTGTGAGTTTCGTTTGCTGTCCAGAAGGTGAGTTAACACATGGCTGTATATTTGTCACAAGTTGCACATGCTCCTTTTACAAATATTTGAAATTTTGAGCTGTTAATTTATGAGTGCAGAAACAATCTTATGAGACTGAAGCAATATTTGTATTTGAATATACCATAATACATCAGATTCTGGCTTTCCTGCTATATCTGTTGTAGTCTTACTTAAGACTTTGTTACCTGAGCTCTGAAGTTTGGTACTTAGGTGTATTTTGTGGGGTGGTGGTGTTGTGTTGTTTTGTTTTTGAGGCAATGAGAACATGCCATGTTCCGAGTTAGTGGTTTTGTTTCCATGCTGACCTGTACTAGTCTTGAGAGCATCCCTCTGATTGTGACTATAGGGAGTCCCCACTTTAACTCCAGAGGCTACAGTCTCTAGTCTTCTCTTTGTGCTGACCAGCTGGATTCATCTGAGTTCTTGCACAAAGTGCTTTCTTTTTTGGAGCCCTGAGATTTCAGAGCTGTTCAATGAACGAGTTACCTGCCCTGCTGCAGGAAACACAATTTAAAAAATTATGCCAGATTTTTTTAAAAAATCTGTTAATTCCCTGGTAGTGATAAAGTCAGTAGCGGTGTTACCTTTTATGATGTTTCCACTAAATAAAAGACTGCTAAATCTTCAAGCTTGCTCTAGTTTCTCTGAAATCTTGATTTTTATTCCTGCCCCCACAGTGCTTTCCCATATTGGCATTTTTCCTTTCAAATTTCTTTCCTGAATTATATTCAAGTAGATGTCCTTCAAAATACAATACTTACGAAGCTACAGAGCAGCTTCAGTTGCTGCTCTTCAGTTGCTCTGCAGACGTTTTCACATGTGGAACTGGAGGGCATTAACAGTATCCACAGGTAGCCAGGTTGCTAGTTAGTCTTCTGTTGTTGTCACTTACAGCGAGACAGTGATGATGATGATGATGACGATGACCGAAGCAGTGATCGGGAAGATGGACCACTAGAAGAGCAGATAGAGCGCTTGCAGGAAAAAGTAGAATCGGCGCAGAGCGAACAGAAGAATCTCTTCCTTGTTATATTCCAGGTAATGATGGGCAAAGTCTCTTCAGGTTTTAAAGTTGCTGGATTTATAAGCTTTCAGTGTCACCTGTATCTCAGGCATCTTCTTGGAATAAGAACATGGGAAGGGGTTGTTGGGTTTACTATGGGTTAGAGTCAATCCAGATCATCCTCCTGCGAAGACTGCTTCTGAGCAGGATCTGTTTAGCTTCAAGTGCTCAGGAACAGAGGAGTTCTGCTAGCATACAGTTTCCTGAACAACCAGAAGGTAACTGGATTTTATTTGCTTGCTAAATTCAGTCTTTGCCAAGCCAAATAATTATTCTCACATTGCTGTTCAAAGCTTCTGTCCCTCAGCTCCTCTTACTTGAGGTTAGGATCCTGCCTTTGTTTGACAAGACTAAGTTATTGGTTGTGGGTTTGTTTTTTTTTTTCCCCTCTCCTGCAGCGTTTCATTATGTTGTTAACGGAGCACTTAGTGCGCTGTGAGACTGGTGGAATTGATGTATTTACACCTTGGTACAAGAGCTGTATAGAGAGGTTGCAGCAGATTTTCCTGCAGGTGAGTTTCATTTCTGAGTCTGGAAGGCTGTGGGCAGGGGCGTGCTGGTGAGGCGAGCGTGGTGGCTGGAGAGCTGAGCGCTCCATGAGAGTGGCAGTAGGTGGCAGCAGCACGTCTGCTCTGAAGGCTAGCGTGGGGCTGGGCCGTAACTGGTTTTGGCCGCTTCTCTGCCACAGACTGGTGGAGCGTCTGGTCCTTGATTAGTTCCCACACTGTGAGCCTACTGCAAAAAGATACTGAGATGTGATTATGAATTACGCTGAGCTTCTCTTAACTCTGTGTTTATAGTAAGGGCAAAGTTGTGAGTGAACAACAATACTAAAATAGATGGTTTTTAAATAAGCGGATTAAAATATTGCAGAATTCCTTTTAATAAGATGTATAAATATCTATTAAAAATAATTTTTGAATTCTCGGCTCTGCATTAAATGAGGTAACAAACACAGGTGACTGGATGAAAGTGAAAGTAATAGAAAATTATACCTGTGTGAGCAGAAGATAGGTTGAAGAATGGACGTGGTGGTATAATTCTGTCCTGGGCCGAACCCTTCACTGGTGGTAGATGTTGCATCAGAGGAAACAAAGTATCATGATTCTCCTAGAGTATCTCTGGACTTGCATGGTACCCTGCACACAATTCAGGATCTAGGAGTGAAGAGCTACAGTGGGCGCAGTGCTCCTCAAGACAGGGTTTCAGCACATGCTTTCTTCTTGCACAGTAGCGGCTCTGCATTATGCCTTTCTTGTCAGTGGCTACTGTGTTGTGGAAATGAGATGTGCTTAACAATTTTGATGAAAACATTTGACCTGTGATTCTTAAGTCTCAACTTCTCTGCCTGTTCTTATAAAAAGATAAATGAAAACAATAAAGGTTTGTGTTCTGTTTTGGGTTTTTATCTGCCAGCATCACCAGATAATCCAGCAGTACATGGTGACCCTGGAGAACCTCCTGTTTACAGCTGAACTGGACCACCACATACTCGCTGTGTTTCAGCAGTTCTGTGCTCTGCAGGCCTGAGGATTATTCACAGGCAGAGTCTTGTCTGCAGGACTTTAATGAATTTAATTTTTTTTTTTTAAATGGGAAAACTTGACATGGGGATAGAAGAAACTTTTAACTAAAACTGGCTTTCCTGTGCTCCTATATAAAACAATACAGTACTCTAACCAACAGCAAACTGTGTAAGCATCATAAGCCTTACAAGACATGACTGATAGGGGATAGACATAAAGTAAACGATGAATTCTTTTTGTTGTCTTTTAATTTAGCTTGACTCTTGACTTCATGATAGTACTTTTGTTTTGCCCCTATTGTTTATATAGAAATAAAAATCAGGCAAAAAAACCAACCAACCAACCAAAACCAAACAAAAAACCCCAAACAATAGAATTTATTACCTGTGCTTGGCCCTTAAATCAAAAGAGTTGCAGAAATGAGAAACAGTTCATAGTGTTTTGTGAGTATGAAAGGGAATGCACCTTCTCAGTGAGCAGTGTGATTAAGTTCTCTAGTATAGCACAGGAAAAGTGTCTTAACTTTGGGCATGTGAAACACTTGAGTTAAGCTTTCACAGTAGTATGGAGCATATGGATTTGTTTATTACCAAGCCAGCTAGATTTTCACAGTTTGAAAGAACATGATTGTAATACAATGAAAATATGTTTTTCAAATGTATTGTCTAGTGTCTTATTACTGTAGCTATAAGCAATCGGTAGAGGAACTTCATGGACAACTTCTGAAAAATGCAATCCTTTTTGCAATATGGTCGAAGAATCGTGGACTGGTCCTGGCAGCAGTCTTCACTGGTAAATAGAGACAGTAAGCAAGAGTTGGAGTGGAACAAACTTTCTCCTTCAGTACTGCAAGCCTTACCTGGGTGTGGGGAACTCCAGATGCCAGCGGAGAGGGCAGGGCAGTGTTCAACTTGTTCCTTTATTTCATCCTGTAACTAGTTGGGCTGCCAGGCTTGCACTGGGCTGGACCTGAAGGCTGGCAGTGATGCCAGAAATCTTTTTGGTGGTGACAGTAGATGAACCAGGTGCCCTCACCTCATCTGGCTTAGTAACAACTGCTTTGCAGCAGCTGCATCTGCTACCCTTCCCTTGCTTTAAAATCTGACAACAGCACGTCGCTCCCATGTCTTCAGGAAGCTAAATTAAGTGATATCTCTTAGGAGACTTAAGACTGGGAAAACACAACCCGAAAATAAGAGTAGCCTTAGTTTTGAGTTATGCAAATAACATTACATACATAAATGCCAAACCAGAGTGGTCTGTATTATGGTAAGCAGTGACGAATGGCAAAGACTCTGCCTTAAGTGCTCAGGTCCACCAGTGTGCAGTGTATTCCCAAGCTGTTTGTGGTCTCTTAATTTTGCAGATGGATGTTTAAAGAAACTCATATCCAGTGCTATTCAGTTTAAGCTTAGAAAGTGATGAGCTTTGAATAATTTTGTTCCTGTACAAATTATTTTTACAAGTGTTATGCCAAGTAATGCATTTCATCTGTATGTTGACCAACTGACCTCTTGATCAAGCAAAGAGGGTAAAAAAATTTAACTTTCTACTTTGACATGTTTGTGTGTGGCCTATAGCAATCTGATATATCCTCATAGACTTAGATCTGTTACTTACGCTTTCTCTGCTTACCCTTTCTGATTTGAGCGATCCCTCTCTTCTTTCAAGGTATACTGTTAATTGTTGTAAATTTGCTTTACGCAAGGGTTTTGTCAGTCATGCAGAGACTTCTGCTTCAAATCTTTCTGTTACCATTGAGTAATCAAATAGTTTTTGGTTTTGTTGTTTTGTGGGGTTTTTTTAAGGAAACATGTAATACTGTAGAGGTTTTAATCGTTTTTTCACTGGCTTGGATCAGTATCAGAGTTCTGGTATTAACTAATGGTGGGGGTCTGACTATAAATGTGACTTCTGTAAAACTGATAACAGAGTTAAAACTTGCAAACCTGTGACTTCCTCTGAGCCTTGACAAATACGGGTGCTGGGGATCCACTTGCAAATGCCTAGAGCATCATCGTATGATTTAAAACCAAATAGCAATGTGTCTCAAAATTGATTTGACTTCCATGGCTAGCATGGGCTTTGATTACATTTCTTGAGTCTGTTGGAACACCTTCCCCTCGTTGACTGGGAAACTGGTTGGATCTGAGATGCTTGCATAGGGATACCAGCAGCTAACTGGAGAAACTTGGAACTGCTGAAGCATGAGGTGGTGGATAGTGTAAAGATGCTGTAGAAATGTGGTGTGGTTGGAAAAAATGCACAATTAAAGACAAAAATAAATGAAGGTGAAGCAGGTTGCTACTGGGAGTGTTTGTCCTACCTATTTTGGGGGCCAGTGAAGCAAAACAGTCACGGCAGAGTTATGCTGATGTTAAGTGCAGTTGGGGTTGGAGCAACTTTGTTTCCCCTGCCCCGTGTCTGGTACCCTGGCTAACACACAGGCCTTGCACTGTGGGCTGCTCTAACACGCTTCCCCCACCCGCACAGCAAAGTGCTGCTCTGTGCCTAGAGGCTGCTGCTGTGGAAATTCTCCCCCTCCCTTGCCACCTCATCTTCTGGGCGGTGCTTGCTGAGGGGTGGCTGCCGCAGCGTGCCCAAAGGTGAGTGATTCAGCAGCCAGTGTGCACCACCCAGTTGCCCTGGAGAGGAGTTTTGGGATCCAAGACAACACTGGGTCATGGAACCATGACATGGAGGACTACCTCCAAAAGTTCTGCCAGTACCTGGCTCCTACACTCTAGCCAACACCATGTGCTATTTTCCTAGGCCTTGCAGAGCCCTAAGTCCTCAGTGCTTGGTCAGAAGGCAGGTCACTGAGAGCTGCCAACCATGGGAGTGAAGACCTCGTAGTGGAACCATCATCCACCCTCCCTAGGCACCTTCACTCCTCCTGTAACATTTCAGTTCTGCATAGACACAGTGGCTGAGGCTCCCCTGAAGAAGTCTCTAGACACTTCACCGAGATCTGCCATATTCACAATGGCAAACAAATGCAGAGCAGCTGCCAACAGCAGGTTCCCTCACTTCGGTCATTTCTACAAGCATTCTATGACAGCCCTAAGAACCAAAGACTTGGAATTTGAGAAATTTTAACTTGAAAGTAAATCCACTATGTGAAAGCAAACATCACTTTGAGAGATCTACCTTGGAATGCTACTTCGCCCAATGACAGGTATTTACCCTTTTCATTTACAAATTTCTGACAAATTGGTATTAAGAGTCACCTTGGTTCCCAGGTCCAAAACTTGGGGAAAAAAAAAAAAAAGGGCAGTAGAGGATATACCTAAGGACTCTCCCCTATGAAATATGGTAGAGATGTGTCAGAATTTCCCCAGGAGCATGTGGATTTCCCCAGGAGCATGTGGCTTTCCTCTTGAGAGAAAATTCTCCTTTAATGGAGTCAAGTCTCCAAGCAGGAGGAAAACTGCCTCACAACAGGGTCTCCAACCATCAGAAGAGATAACTTCATCAGCTAGTTGCCCTCTGCCCACCTATCACCAGAAACCACACAACAGAACAAAATACAGAGCCTTCCTCCTCTAACAGAAGCACACAAGTAGTGGGAAGTTCACCTTAACTTCATCAGCATATAAAGTAGAATGATACCAACTAATCTTTTGGCCTACAAGGTACAAATTTATTGAACTGTTAAAAATGTCTTACAGTCCACCCTAAGATCTAGTTTAAAAGCCAAAGCTTAGTGTTCTGTACAAGTCTGCTTACAACTGAGCAACATCATTATTCATACAATTTGGCAACAGCTTGTTCATAATTAGCATTTATTTGATTTAATAAAAAAATACCATCAAAAAGATAATGAAATTTTTTAAAAATATATTAACACTACATCTTCTCATAAGTTAATTCATGGCCACATACAGTACATGTCTTTTTGTATGTCTCTTCATCAATATTTTCTTCTGGTCCATACTCGTGTTCATGGATAGTAGTGTCTCTCTTCCACAAACTACTCCTTACAGCACGGCGGAGTTCTGATGACAAATAAAAGAAAATTTTAACATTTTAATAAATCTCAAATAATAAAACTCAAGCTAACCACCTTTCTGAGGACTGCAGATGACAATCTGCTTGTTGCCTGTCTTCTATAAATTGTGGGTGAGAATCTGCTATTGCAAGGACAAGCTTTAACTTGCTTTGCAATCTTCACCTTGTTTGCATGCTTTAAAGGATAACAACTACACTGACATGAGATCTAACAGGACAAGATCTTCCATCTGGACTAAGTATGTGTTGCCTGTTGCATTTTTACACGAAGCCATTCAAAGGTATCCAAAAGGGATAGGTGGAATGCAGAGGGAAAGTTTTTGTAAAACACCTCATTTGTTTTCGTGACCAAGAAAGAGTACTTTTCATTCAGATCACAGTAAGCCTCCCAAATGACTTGGCAGTCTCTAAGCTTGATGCCCAGTAACGCAAGTTGCCTCTGCAGCAACCACAGTGAAGTCAGCGGGTTTTCAAGAGAGCACAGGCTGGCAGCCGAGCCCAAGATATTATCCGGATGTTGCAAGTGGGTGGCAAGCATACCAAAAAGCAAAACGTAGTCACATTTTGAGCCAAGCCATTGAGGCCGCAAACTTTGTCACGTTAAGGCCTGTACTTGCACTGAACTCTGGCATCTTGGCTACAGACTGCTGCCAGTCCTTCTGTGTGCTGAACATCAATGGTCAAGACAGACAGGGCTTATTTGCTCAGTCTCACGTTCTGCCTCCTCCAGACAACACCAGTGCAGCCAGCTTCATTTTTCTGCCTCTCTGAATGCCGACCCAAACGGAAGCACGGATGCTATGGGCACCACAGATATCACGGTAAGCCACAGCTCTTCCAAAGGAACAAACAGGGTCTTTTTTAAAATGAGTAGCATGCCTGTGCTGAAAGTGTTCTTCACAAGTTCTATCAATTGAATTTACCCTAATTTATCAGGCAAAAATAAGGATAACAAGCAGTAAGAACAGCAGCTGGGAATACTGTTAAAAGGCATTTCCTACCTTCATTACAGTTACTTCACCTTGAAAGCGTATGTATGACAGAATTATAACCCCCTCCCACAAAAGCCCATGTTCTCCACAAGAAAAGTAACAGGAACAATCTATGGCACATTCTGGGTCATACCCGAATTTAAAAAACACATCATAATGAACCATTGTAACTGATTTCAGTCACTTACATCATGTCCATAAGACAATCAGGTAATTCAGGTTGGAAGGGACCTCAGATCTCCTGTCCAACTCTCTGCCCAAAATAGTCAGTTACAAGGCCAGATCAGACTGCTCTGGGCTGACCTACACAGCTCTTGGAAACCTCCATTTTGCCACAATGAAGATTTTCTAAATACTTCAACCAGATGCAGAAAAAAATTCAAACAGAACTGTACTTCATGTACTGCAGTATGTAAGTTTAACCCTTTACCTTTAACTTTCTTATCAAACTTCTTCTGTTTCATCTTCTCTCTGCTGTCACGGCGGAGTTCCTTTGCTTCTTGCAATGATTCTTCACTACCCCAAACTTCAAGAGAACGCTTGATTACCTACAGGATGGACATAAACGTGTTTCTTTTCCCCCTGAAACAATAAACTATTCTAACTCACCAATTTTCTCCCTACACATACACAAGCCAACTCAATCTTGCCTCTGCCTCCCATCTGTCTCTTTGCTCTTGATCCACAAATGTGGCATTCCTTCCACAGTAAGAGATAACTGATTTTTAGTATCAGTGAGATGTAACTTAGTTGGGCAAGTCAAACCCACCTCTAATTTTGTGCATCTTCCACTAAACCAGCAGCATTCCTACAAAAGCAGCAAAAAAGAAATAACAACAGCCCTGGAAAATCTACTTGCCTTTCCTGCTGCCTCTGAGGGCAGAGCTGTGAACACCAGGCCACAGCTACAGAGCCACACACAGCAGCAGCTGCCCCATGCATTTCAGAGTAGCACTGAAAGGCCATCATACACTTCATGACATGTAATTGTGCAAACCACTGAGGCTGTGGTCCATGAAAATCTTTAAAATGCTCTCAAACACAGACATTTTCATGAATTTGGACCACGGCTCTTTATTTTAAATATAAGGGAAATTTACACAAAGCTACGCGTAACATACTCAACTTGGACAAAATCATTCAGGAATCAGAACTAAAGTGACACAATTTCGGCTACCAAAGTTGTATGAAAGAAAAAAGGTCTGAAACACACTAACAATTTATATACCTGTAGTTTTAAATAAAGTTTCATGTCACCCCATCGTGAATTATGAGGGTTTTTCTTCACAATGAACCTGAGCACTGGTTCCCTCTTGTCTAAGTCACAGTCTTTGAGAAGATACTCTTCTTTTGCTTCTGTCCTTGTTATAAGCTTATGTTTATCTTCAGCATCTCTGGAATATGTAAAATAATGATGAGAAAGCTACACCTGAAAACCCTGTTATTAACATCTAAGTCCTCATCACTTCTAACATTCCTGAAATACAGGCAGCCCTCATGTTCTCGGCTTTTACGTATGCAAATAACTTTGGATTCCAACAATCTAGATAAACTCCAGGATAGGTTTACTGAAATTAAGCTTTAAAATTACCCCATTTAAGCAGACATGGGCTGAGAAGCCTGTTTTTCTAGAAGGGCTTTTCTTCTGTTTTCTTACAAGAGGGAGTAACTGAAACTTAAAAGGAGTATGAGTAATTTGAGGTATTCACCTAACCCAGAGGCAATTCAAGAGGACAAAAGTACAAGCCTGACACATGGTCAAAAGAGGAAGAATGTGTAATGTGATACTGGTCAGATCACCTGAGAATATACACACTCCGTATGCTTCGAGATTCCAGAAACAGATTAGCAACACAGACAAAGCACTTGCTTCTAAATGCAAAACAGTAGGCAGAGGAATTGTAAATAACGACCTTAAAAGACTGTAACTTTTACCAGACAGATAACGAAAAACTGTGTAACATTTATCAGTTAACGAAAAAAAAAATAACATTTACGCAATCCTGACTGAAGTATAACTTGAATTGCTTGAGCCAAAACAATCTGCCAAACACAAAGTGCTAGCAACGGTTATCAAAGAAGTACTGCTATAAATGTAGCTTTACTAGAATTCAAAGTTCACAGTAAAAGCTCATGCACCTCAGAATCTCCAACTTTCAGCTACAAGAGCTACTTAGTCCGAAGGAAAACCACTCCTAAAGCTCCGAGCCCTCTCCTTAACATCCTCTTTTCACCCATCTTACCTCCAAGAGACAGTGCTTTGCCTCGAAGGACTGTGAACCACCTACACCACGCGCACTCCCCTGACCACTCCCTGTAATAAGTGGGGAAGCTCTCAGAACCAACTCCCAGCTGCAATCTTTTTTTTTTTTTCCTTTTCTTTCCCCCTCCTCCCGTTCACCCATTCATTCTTACACTCATGGGTGGTTGGCTGCTTCAGAGTTGGTTTCATTGCCCTGAATATCTTGATGGCTTTAGAAGCATTTTGTGTCAAAGGTAAGAGAGCACAGAGACTGCCTTCTGCTCAAGGTCAAATTCCTGCTTACCCTGCAGGTCACCCAGTAATCCCCCGTGGGGCTTCTGCCCTTTGGCTGCCACATTCCCAGCCCACTCGGGCTGACCAAAGTACTAACTTTACCTGGGTTAATTCACTAGGACAGCAAATACTCTCCTAATCCCTGCTCTACTTCAGAAAGCAGATATTCTGTGCTCTATCACTTTTTCAAATAGCTCTAGTCTGCAACCAGACATTAATTCCCATGCTGACACACACACTAACTACTCTCAAGACATCATGTTTCCATGTTATGGAAAAATCTGCTGATTTTTCTCCACCTAAGACAGGCTCACGAGACAATGCTACTGTTCCTTCACTTCCGTAACAGAAAATAGAGAGGTTATCAGTCAACTTCCATTTACTTCTTCAATAAGTATTCAAGTTACAAAAAAATGTTTCTTTGCTGATAGCCTTTTTAATTAGAACAGAATGATTGTCATTAACAAAATCATAGCCAGCAATCTTTACATAAAATAAGGTTATTCTCTCTTGATTATTTGTAATACCTGCAATTATCACATGTTGCCCAATCAAAGTGCTGCATAAGGTAGGAATCCATGAATTCTTTGCCACAGTCTCCACAGATGAGATAGTCAAATTCTAGTACAGGTGCTAATGAAAAGAAATTTTTTTAAGGAACTACCATGTTAAAAACAAGCATCTGTAATTGTATTATAATCAATTTTACTGACATTTACATTATAGTTCTTATAGTATGTTACAACTAGTTTCACTCCTCTATTTAAGTTTTCCAGACAGATACAGTACAAATTCAAACCCGTTATCACGCAATCCCATCTCAGTTGGTGTATTTCTGTTCTTGCTGGAAGGTTCACTGTATTAAGTATTGGATTTCAACATTCAAATGCACACATTTGTTTCAGCTTAGCCATTGTTAAAAAAAAAAAGTTCTCTGCGTTTCCCCACAAAGTGCTTCATATCCCCTCCTACAGCTTCCTCTGTTCTGGCCCTCCAAAATACGTCCCAATTTACAGAGCACGTGCAGGCAGAAACAGGAGGAAGCAGAGAAGGGGATGCAGTTCGAAGAGGGTGGCTAGATCAGGAAGCAATACAGGAGCTGCACTGGCATCACAGTTCTCTCAGCACTGCTCCAGTTTTTTTCCTAGCTCAGCCACACCTGCCTCTCCCTAAATGAGCTCAATGGAGGCCTGGGGCGGTTGGCAAGGCTCTTGTCCATTCCAGCTGGCAGAAATGGAGGAGGATGGCCAGAGAGCTGCTAGGAGTGGAATGGGGATGGAGCTCCACTACAATCCTCTCCCCAAGCCCTCTCAGCACTGCTCCAAGCCCAGACTCATCCCAGTGCCGGCCACCACTTCTGGCCGCATCCTCGCCGGGTAGATCACCTCCAGCGTCCTCGCCATCTGCTTTACGTTCCATGGAACACCAAGAAACACTGATTCAGGTAACCGCAGCTACAAGGAACACTCCTTTTAACAGTAACATTGCAATTCTAGCAAAAAATCAACATTTTCATACAGTTTCACGAGCTGAAAATGAGGTAATGCTGCAGAATATTAACAATACCTGAAACAGAAGACTAATGCTTGACATGCAGCACCATACATTTTTAATTGCGTTTGCATTTATAGCAGATTCGATCTAGCAAAGACGACATTTTATGCCAATTCAGTCCTACTAGCGGCAGCGGGATGCTCAATACTTCACATAGTCATGCTCTTACATCACATTTCATCATTTAAAGCAGTACTCCCGAACATAAAGACATTTTATTAAGACAATGACATTATGAATTACACAGCAAAAACACCTCCAGCGCAACGGCATCCCAGATCTATTGAATTTATTGTTAAACGTTAGCCCCTCAAAAGAAGTAAGGTTGCTAGTTGTTTACACTCTTAATGAAATCTGGTGATTTCTAACAAAGAGATACACTGCACCAACAGCCCCGCTGCTGATTCAGAGCAGAACAAAGCAAGACAAAGGCAATCCCAGAGAAGAAAGTGAATCTATTTTGGGATTCTTACTTCTCCATTTGCTTTTTGGAGGGAGAATATCACAAGACAATATGTCGAAATCCCCCACCAAACGATCAGCAGCTTGGCGTCAATACGTTTTATAATGATAAAAGCTGGCACTGCAGCAGTGCTCTGATCTTTGCATAAACGATATCAACCTCAAAATTCCCAGAACCAACGAAGCTGCGCAGATCAGACTTATTTTGGTCTTAAAATACAAATTCCCGAAAGAAATAGTGGAAATAACGTTTATCGGGGAAAGGAAAAAAATTGGCATACCCAAGGGCACTGACTGTATCCCACTTCCGCGGCTTAAAATTCTTCATTTTTAATTACCGCGTATTTGTTAGCTGCTTTAACGCTGAAAGAATCGGACGCGTCAGAAATCGAGCACATCCAGAAAGACGCGTTAGAATGATGAAGGAAGACAAA